CAGTTGCTGGTTTAATGCTGTTTAGCTGTTTCTAGCTTGAGTCATGTAGGCTATAAAATGTTATTTTTCTAATAAGATCTAACGCAGCCCGTTAGGAAGATTGAGAAATTGCACATCTCTGATCGTGCGTACATTTCGAAACGTCTTCCTTTTGAAGAAAGGCTTTGTTTAATACCACTTTATCGTGATTTGCATCTTTCCATTTTGTACTCTAAACAAATTCGTTAGCGGGGCGGTCGCATACCCAGATGTTCATTTTATTGTGTTTAGCAACTTCATCTAAAAGCGCACGGAAAGTCTCTTTGTTACCCAGTTTGTATTATTTGGGCTATTGCATTCATTAAATTAGGAAAAATTCAGCAGTAATTAACCCACTGATGGGCTGGGTTAGGAGCCCTCCAGTCATCCCGTGGCTTCCTGGAGCAGCGAGGGGTTTCTTGTGCAATGGCTGGGTAACAACCTACTTGCATAATTTCATACAACTACAGCAAAATCTGATGGGAGAAGCCTCAAAGTACAATTTTTTTTATTAATCCAGTGTATGAGAGAAAAGCTTTTTCTTCACTGTTTAACTTGTGCTGCTGTTGGAGCTCTCTTGGTAGGAGAGCAGCCCTTCTGCCTCCAGAGGATGCTCTGAGAAGATGCTGCAGATTACTTCTGTTACCATACTCCTCTATTAATTTCTATTATAACATTTCTCTGTAATATTTGGGGTTTGGTTTTTCTTGTTTTGGTTTTCTCTTCTCTTTGTATAACCTCCCACTATGGTACCTTCTATTTAAGCTTATGTGCTTGCAGTAATTTATCTTAAAATGTGCCTTTATCTGTCCACGAACCGCTCCCCAGGCTTAGTAATGGGTTTGTTAGGACTTGCCAGAAGGCCTTGATAAGGTTTTGTGGACCACCTTTGACTTCCAGCAACTCACAGGCAATTCAGGAATTAACTTAACCCGCAATAGCACCCAGCATACGAGCGGTGAGGCTTTTAATTAGAGATAGCGCAGGGGAGCATCTGGAAATTATAGGTGAGACTTTGCGCTTTCAAACGGAGGGAAATCTGGACCACAGGGACTTCCCTTCTGGCAGGGAGAGCCGTGTTCCTGTTTCTGACCCCGTCTGCGAGTAATCTTGTAGAAATTCAGATTAATTTGACAAAGTGCTTCGCTGAAGGCTCTTGCAGACCTCCAGGAGATTCCTTGGGAAGAGATTGCGCCGGGATCTGTGCAGTTTGCTCTTCAGGGTAGCACTGAACTGTATGGAAAAGGGAATAAGGAAATTAGGTGGCAAAAAATTGTGAGGGAAAGGGGTGTGTATTTGTTTGTGCATGTGTATGAATGTGTGTGCACATCTGTGCATCTGTATACAGAATTAAAACTGAAGAGTTGCAGGAAGGCAGTGGGATTTTGGATGGCTTGCTACTAGAATAGCAAATGAAATTAGGTGTAGGCACACGTAACATTTTCTGCATGGGAAGAGATAAGAATTCTTAACTTCAGTTTGCAGCAATGCCTGAAATGTCTGCTAATGTAGAGGTCTTGGTGTTACAGAAAGGTCTTCTGAAAGTCACATTAGCCCAATGCTCGCTTGTAAAACACCAATAACATGTTAGGAGTTACTAGGAAAGCAGGGGAGCAAAGCATTGTGTGGGTGTGTTAATTCATGGTGCTCTCTCCCTTCATCCTGGACATTGTGTGTGGTTCTGCTCCTGCTCAAAAGTACGAGTTAGAGATGGTACCAGGATAAGAAACAGGGAGGGTCAGGGTGACGAAACAGCCAAATTGTTGGCTGAGCTGGGGACCTTCTTGCCCTCCGATACTTTTGGCATTAAAAGTTCAGCTTGGTTCAAAATGTGATGGGACAAAGTCATGGGAGAGGAATTAGTTGAGGACTGACACACGTGGTTGATGTCTTCAGGTGAGGACGTCCTCAGCCCGCAGCTGCAGCGCGGCTGGGATGGTGTCAAGGGAAAGCATCACTTTTTTTGGAGTTTAGATAATTCAGGTTCCAGTTCCAGTGTCGGCACTGCCTGGTCTTACCTATCAGCTTTTAAGGAACACCAGGTTATGTCCTCTGCAGTTTTTTTCTCTTTAAAACTTGCACCCAGAATACCTACGTTTATGGCAGTGATTCAGTAGTAACGCTTCTTTACACCTGGTATGCAGTTGTTACCTGTATGTTCTGACAGCACTTCAAGGAATGGAAATATAGCAAATAGCACTCGTATTGCATTTGGTCCAGCGGAAGCAGGGAAGGAGAAACTATTTTCAGTGATGTGCAGTGCTGCCATAGTTGCTCAAAATGGGATCCGGTGCAAATCAGGTCTACGTGTGAAATACCCACGTGTGCCGATACAGCTCATAAAGCCACTTGGACGTCTGTTCTTACTGCATCAGGAATAATTAATCATGAAGTCACAGTCGAGCCTCTGTAACGTATTATTAAAAAAATGTATCTTAAAAATAATCACTAAATTAGCAGAAAGACCCATGTGAAACCCCACTGTATGGTGAATGGCAAAATTGCCAAGAGGAAAAGCGATTCAAAATTATTTTTCCTAGAACAAGTCTTTCACCAGTGAAAGGGAGTGGCCATTTACAATGCAGAATTTGGTCAAGGAAAACAAGTATTCTTGTATGATTTAAACAAATAAGTTGAGATTTTTTGGAATGTCTGTTTAGACTGTTTGCTCTCTTTACTGACTTTTTTTGTACTCTACATAGAAAAGTTACACAGTGAATTCCTAAACAGTTCCTCTCTGTTAAATGCTGCTGTTGTTACCAAGCAGATTTTTCTCTTCCAAATTCGGGGCTTCATCCCATGACCTGTTAGTGGTCACCTCTTGGCGTGCCCATGGTCCCCGTCTTTAGCGTTGGGAGGCTTGGGGATGAACATGATGTGGTTTAGGGAGTTTTTTTTGCCTTACGTGGTGTTGTATTCAATAATTTCCCAAAAAGTAAGCTCAGAAATACTCTGCTACGTTTGTGACACCAATATTTGGTAATGGGTTTTTCTTGCTTAACGCTCGCTTCGTGGTGCTAACTTTTTCTGACTTCATAGAAATGGGTCCTGCTTTGTGGGCCTCCCTCAATCCCAGACCAGAATAAAAACTGGACTTTATTATAAACCACAGTCTTGGCTTTGGGAGGACCGGTTTGTGCTTAACATTTGTTTGTGGAATGAAGTTTAATATTAGGATCGTGTACCTTACAAAGCCCAGGAAAACAAGCGCTTACCATAAAAGCTGTGTAAGAGCATTTCTACTTTAATTATTTGCTGTCGTATTTTGAAGTAGAAGCTGAGAACAAAATACGGATTATTGGAAAGGTTTGTGTGGCAGTGCCTGCAGGGAACAGGACTCACAGCGTTGCACTTCCCGCTCCGATTTCGCCGTATTTTGGTGTTTAAGGTCAGAAAGGATCATACTGCAACAAACTGGAGTACTGAAAATCAGTGTTTAGGTTGCTTTCAGTGTCTTTAAAGTAATGAAGTAATAAAGCATTACTTTAAAGTAATAAAACACTTGCCTAAACTTGCAGATGTGCACAGATCTGGGCACAATTCTGCCTTTATTCTGTTCTCTTGAGCGTTTTTAAGTGGTGGACGTGTCTAAAACCCATTTAGTTTTTGATACCAGTACATGTTCCTCTTAGTAGGAATTAATAACTGAGCCTGAGCATTGCTCACTCCCTCAAGGCAGAAAAATATTTGGGCAAATGTGGAAATATATCCTATATGGAGAACAGAAAATTGCAGCTGGGACACCTTGGAAGTGCTTTGAGAGGAGGAAATATTGATGTCTTTTTAAAAAAAAACAACAGAAGATTTTGTTTCTGTTTTCAGAGTGTGCCTGAAAGCTCGCTCAGAATTGTCCATTTCATGCACAGCTCTTCTTTAACTCAGTTTGTCTTTTAAATAGGAATAATTGTATTATTTGCATTTCTGTTGCCTTGATTGCAGGTGATGTGTTTGTAATGCCAGGAGGGAGGTAGATGCGTGTGGCAGTTTGAGAGAAGAGGAAAGATGGGCAGTTAAATACGGATGTGTGCAATGGGACTTACTAAAAATGTCACTTACCCTCTGTCTGTACCAAAGGATGGGAGGAGAGTTTTGTTCTTTCTAATGCAGGATGTAAATAAACAATGTAGATGGCCGTGGTTCTACTTGGTGCTACAGCTTTCTTTCCTCAAACTGCTGCTTTTATCTACAGTTTTATTCTCTAAAAATGCTCCACTTCCTTTCAGTCAGCTGTACGTACTTTTTACCCAGAGTTATTCTGATTTTTCTTGGGTTTTGGGGTTTTTATTTAATCATTTTAGACCAATGAGCGAGTGAAACCAAATTCCTGACGTTTCCTTTCCTTTAACACCGCCCTCTCCAGCCTCAGAACTGAGCATTAGCTGCCCCTGTGCTGTGGCCGTTGTCCTCCAGCATCGCCGTCAAACAGCAGCAGAGCAAACTCAGAAACACTCAGAGGGGTTGGACTTGGATGATCTTTCGAGGTCCTTTCCAACTCCTGATATTCTGTGATCTCAGGTCTTTTCCTGACCCTTGCAGGAGTTTAAACATCCGTGTATTTGGCCAGAAAACACTGCCCGGGCATCAGCAGGCATTCATTGCATCTCTTCTGGTTTAGATCAGTCCTGTTGGCTTCCTCAGAGACGTATTTTAGCAGCAGGTTATTTCATTTACAGTATCTACTGTGGCTATTTCTATGAAAACTCTCAGAATAGTGCCTTAGTATGACAGTAATGTGATTTTGCAGGGATGCAGGTTGGTTTGTAACAGGTTAACGTCATCGTGTGAGTTTGATAACCAAAAATGTTGTTGAAATGGAAGGAAAGGGGTCTCAGTATGATGGAAAATTTCTGTGTTTTCATTAATATTTGATAAGGACTTCAGAGATAATAACCTCACATCTTAAATTCAGTCACTGTATGTCTGGAAAACGAGGTCTGTGCTACATGAATTTATTTCTCTGTTGTTTTCTTTTCTCTTCCTAGTGTCCCAATGTAATATCAGCTTGAAGAAGCAGAGGAGTCGAAGTATCTTTAGCACCTTATTCTGCTGCTTTCGTGACTACAATGTCGAGCCACCATCTACCAACAGCACCAGTGCTCTTCCTCCTTTGGTGGAGGAGAATGGAGGACTTCAGAAGGTCAGACTTTTCTCTGGTTTTGCTGTCATTTAGGTCTTGTCACCAAGGTTTAACTCTGTGCTGCTTCAAGTTTGTCTTAATGGGTTTCCCTCATGGAAATGTGTTATGAGTTACAGCAAAAAATACTGTTCTTACAGAAAAAGTTACCATTTTGATGGTGAATTGCAAACATCATCTGTTCAGCTGCTATTTAAAACTAACTTGTCCGTGAAGGGTATTGGCACTATAGGTTTTTATAAGCAAACAACATTTAAACCCCAAAAATATACTACAAAAATGTGGACTTCTCGTAATGCTTCAGACACTGAGTTGTCCCTGCCTTTGGTTCTCTTTCCCAGCTACAGGAAGGTTAAAATGTGTGAAATGTAGTGGAACTACTTTGAATATTGGTTAAAAGGGTTTCCAGTGACAGGAAAACAGTCGAAAAAGGGGAAGAGCCATAGTTATTTAGCCCCTTTTTCTAACCAGTTCACCTCTGTTTAATGCACGCTGAGCCCAGAGGGATCGGCTTTTGGCTGTTTTTGCAGGTTAAGTTTTGTTTACCTAATAAATCAAATTAATTAATAGAAACTTTTAGCACTTCAAAGACGTTGTATGTAAGACCAGCATGTTACTTTCAGTGAGTTCTAGTAATTGTATTGCTTTGCCATGTACATGAAATCACAACACAATTTTATGTGTTCTTTTAATGTCTGCTAACACTGAAAGGACTTGATTATGTGATTGATGAACTTCAGTTCAAATAGCAAACACAGGAATACCGTTTTTTCCATGCTATGTTGTTTTTCAGCACTCTCAAAACTCCACTGGTGCTGCACTCTTATTGGAAACATCATTCCCATCCCATTTTTCTTTCAAAAGGATTTTAAAAGGACCTTAAAGGAATGCAAGTACAGCTGTATCCATGATGGGGAATAACAGCAGAAATTGAGACATCTCTAGCTTTTCAACCTGCTGCTTTTCACACTAATATTCCATATTTGATGCAGCTGATTTCTTACCTACCTTGTGCAGTCCATTTTGTTTTGTTTTGAATGTTGCTGGTTATGTTTGAATCCTGAAAAGCTCAGGAGAAAGAGCAGAGGAAGTGTTTGGTGAGAGAGAGGAAAGGAAATGAAATGAAAGTGGCTGGGATGAAGAACACGTAGGGGGTAGGGGCTGAACTGCTGCAGTTCGTGCTGAAACTAAATGGCAAAGGTAAAATGCACTGGAAATTCCTCTGCCAAGAGGAGGGATTGTATGTGTATTTTTAGATGTTTCTTGCTAGCCAAGGTGCATTTTGACTGAAATGAGGGAAATCTTGCCTGGATGTGCTGAAGGGAACCTGAGTAGGGTGTTTTGTGTGTGTGTGTGTGTGTGTGTGTGTGTGCACGTCCACCTGAGAAACAAAAGCAACGGGAAACTGGGAAAATGTCCCTTCCCACTATGCTGGGGAGTGGAAAGGAGACAGAAGTGATGGTATGGGCAAGATTACAGCTGAGAGAAAACAGGAGTTCATGAGAGAGAAAAACAAAGTTTGCGTGTTTTGAGTTAAAATGGGCCAGTCAGTAGTTTTCAGATTGCATTTTGTACAACACTTAATTATTTTCTTATTCTATTTCATGCCTTGAGCGAGTGATAGCGTCTGTGTTCACACAGGTTTCCCTCCTCGCTCTGTCCTGCCTTAGTGAGCGGTTTTGGAGTTGTACACGAGCCCAAGACAAATCACAGAATTCGTCGAATTACTACAGCTTAATGGAGTGGAAAAGTTCAAGGAGTGTGTTAGAAACAATTATTTAGAGGGCATTTCCTTCAAATAGGATGAAAGGCACTCAAATTCTTCAGAGATGAAATCAAGTTAGGGGTAGTTCCTAAGTGAGTACAAATAAGTCTGTGACATTTCTGTTTTGAATGTGATTTTGAAGCCCACTAGGCTTTGTATGAGTTTTTATTTTGAGTGCTGCCATAGTTTAAGTAGGAAATGCTTTTAAAGAAAGCAAAACAGCATTTGAAGACTTGGATGTACTTGCTTACCGTTACACTGTCAGACTAGCAGTGTTTCCCAGGAGAGCTGTGTTGTGGGTCTGTGCAGGATGTGCCCGAGTTGCACTGAGCATCTTGTCTGGAAGTTAGAAGTGATAAATAAATTGGGGGAAAGTACATGCAGCAATGGGCCTCGGTTTCTAAACTGGTGAAATGAAACATCCAAGGATGACAAAACTACCTGTTTTAGTGAAGAAATCCTGACAACACGCTGCTTAAACTCCTCTGCTGTTTAATTAAAGCTCTCTCGTTGCATTAATCCAGGTTAATAATAGTTTAAATTCTGTTGAGCTGCAATTCATATGGTCACATCTGATGATACTCTTGTGTACTGTAGTAATTATTTATCACGTTACATCACAGGTGACCTCTGACCATGGCCCAGTCGCTTTGTGCTGTGACCCTTTCCTTCAAAACTTAAAACTGCACAATAAGGTTAAATAGTTACTGTGAGAAACGAGTATAAAACGGCTTGGATGTACTTTCCTTGTCTTTACTTAGACTTGTGACGTGAAAACTGGTGGTGAAGTCTTCAGAGGAGGGAAAGGGATGGAGAAATCTGCAGGTTTCACAGGAATTCAGTGCCTTTCCTACCTTGCTTCTGGCCTACTCCTGAAGCTGATGTGACAGTGAACTTTCTTACGAGTCTCACTTCTAACCTGCTGTAAAGGAGGGAAAGCAGGGTGGAGAGTATTTTATAAAGTACTTGAAATCATGAAATCTTCTTGTAATTGCATTGTGGGATTTAATATTTATTATTACTATTATTTTGCTGTATTAGAAGAAATGACATCAGTGATTTAAATGTAATCAGTGCTTCAATTTAGTATTGTACCAAGTGATGCGGCTCGATGATGCTTGGCAAGTCAAGTGTCGTGTCACTTCTTCATAAGATTGGAAGAAACACCAAACTGAGCATGGTTTTGAATAAACAGAGTGTTCAGCACTGACTTCTGTTCCATTATGGGGGGGGGGGAAAGCCCAAAAACTTCTTTAAAGTATTGAGTTCACTTTTTAAACCTTCGACTCACAGAGCAGCTGCTGTCCGAGCGTGACTCTAATACTGGTAACGAATGGTCCGTTCTGTCTCTAAAGTTTCAATTCAACATTTTTCAATCGTAACTTGTATTTACTGAAACGATTAAATGGCTGTTTCTCTTAAAACGCGACAATTTTTCTGAAAATCTGCAGCACAAAGATGCAGTATCTGTTACAGTGGGTATCTCGGCCTGTCTGCAGAGCGGGTGCCGAGCCGGATGTGTCACTGCAGCACACAGCGTTCAGCCTCATTAAATCCTTGCTCACTTTTTCCTGCTTCCTCAGCAGCAGGCAGCTCACCAACACCTTCCAGCCAGTGGGGTTTTGCCTTCTTTTAGGGGCCAGAGTGTTTGGAGAGGAAAGTCACAGGATCACAGCATATAAGAAGTTGGAAGGGACCTCAAAAGCTCACCCAGTCCAACCCCTGCCAGAGCAGGATCACCCAGACCAGGTCACACAGGAACGTGTCCAGGAGGGTTTTGAATGTCTGCAGAGGAGACTCCACAACCTCTCTGGGCAGCCTGGGCCATGCTCTGTCACCCTCACAGTGAAGAAGTTTTTCCTCATGTTCAGGTTAAACCTCCTATGCTCCAGCTTGTACCCATTGCCCCTTGTCCTGTCGTTGCCTAACACAGAGAAGAGCCTGGCTCCTTCCTCCTGACACTCGGCCTTTACAAATTTATAAACATGAATGAGGTCACCCCTCAGCCTCCTCTGCTCCAAGCTCAAGAGCCCCAGCTCCCTCAGCCGCTCCTCATAAGGGAGATGCTCCACTCCCTCCATCATCTTTGTAGCCCTATGCTGGACTCTCTCCAGCAGTTCCTGTCCTTCTTGAACTGAGGGCCCAGAACTGAACACAATAATGCAGCTGTGGTCTGAGCAGGGCAGAGTAGAGGGGAAGGAGAACCTCTCTCATCTACAACCACCCCTTCTTATACACCCCAGGATGGCATTGGCCTTCTTGGCCGCAAGGGCACATTGCTGGCTCAGTGTTTTCTTCTGAATAAAATCAAATCTCAGTTTCTCTTCTTCACTTAGCAACATGACTCAGTTTGTGTTTTTTCGGGGCATGCTTCAGGGTGTAAGGTTTTTTTTCCTGGATAAGCTTGTTACCTGAGTTTTGAAGTGTTTGCAGGTACAGATTTCATCTGCAGGCTTCTAGGAGCCACATAAATAGAGGAAGGTGAGAAAAGCTGTGTGCAAACTGCCTCTCTCTGCCTTTCGCCTTCAGCCGTGGTGGCTGAGGGAGCTCTGAGAAGTCCATCCATGCCATTTCCCTTCCAGAAGAACCATCTCTTGTGTTTCACAGTTACAAATGGGGCAGGTGGGTTGTGTTCAATGAGATGAAGCATAAATGAGGAAAGGCTTTTTTATACTTGTTGGATTAGGGGAAAGGGTCTTGATCCATGTTCAACAGGGGAGAAGCCAGAATTAGAAGAAGGTTTATTCTGCCCCCGCTGCTTTCCCTGTATCAGGAATGAAGCCAAAAGGTTGAGTCCTTGAATTCCCACCTCACCCACCCTGACCACCACAGGAGTTAGGTCTCCTTCTCCTCACTGCTTTGTGCTGCATGGTGCTGTCATCTACACGGCAAAGCTGGAAGCTGCTTTGATGACCTAATGACCTATTGCCATGTCCCCAACTCTTGTCTGTTCACAACACAGTGCAGGAAAAAGGATCTTCTTTATCCATCATGGATGTGGTTCACCAGAGAGAGAAAAGCAGAGCTTCTAGGGAGCACGTTCTTGAGGTCAGAAGTGTCTCCTTCATGTAAGAAACCTAGAGGAGCAACATGAGCATGAACTCTTTGGTGGGGAGACTGTTAATGGCATGGTTTCCTAACAGCCACAGAAACCGGTTTCACTTCTCAGTGTGGAGGAAGATACATGAGATTAATGTAAATAACAGTGCTCGTTCTCCTGCTTAATCATTGCTGATGAGAGCAAGAAAAGTCCTGGTGTTTGGTAAGGTGGTCACCATCAGCCTGTGGTATGACAGGTCTCTAGAAAGCAGAAAGCCTCTGGTACATAGCTGTATAGCTCTGCATAGCAGTGTTTGGTTCCTCCATCTCTGCCTACTCATGACCTTCTTCGCCTCCCCAAAAAGTCATGTGTATTGAGACAAAGCACCATAGTTCCAAGTCTCTGAAAGAGTCAAATAGTTATTATTGTATTATTGTTTTTAAAGAGCTTATCTAGTGTAAGCTTTGTGTTAGAAACGAGTGTGATAAATCTGTTCTTTTGATCAGCTTCGTCTCTAAAGGGGTTTTTCTGTAAAATGGAACAGCTCCTTATCTTTGAATACAGGCTGTTCTCAAGAAAGGAAAATAGTGTGGGCTCTCACTTATGGCTCATTGATCCCATACGCAGCTGTAGCCAGCATTAATGAACCGACACGGTACTGAAAATGTTGTGTCTCAAACTAAAATTACGTCTCTAAGGGAAAAGGTAGGGTTTATTGTTTCATCTGTATATACTGTGCCATGAAAAAAACCTGCTTTCAGTGCCTGGACAAATCGGTTCCTGGGTTATCTTGGTGATACAGCGGGGAGATTTTGGCATTCGAGGAACAGCTTTGTCCCATTACCAGCATTGGGAACTCGTGGAAGGACTTCAACAAATGCAGTCATTTGTCATCTATTTCAAACGATAGCGCTGTGACCTCCTTCCCTTCCTGTTCCAAGGCATCAGGAAATGAGGCAGGACACTTTTTAAATAAAAAGTTTCCCATAGCAGACTTGTTTTGAAAAGGCATTTGCCTGTTCATGAACGCTTACGCTTTACCAGCAGGCTCTTGCATTTATCTTTCTTCTTGTTTTTCCAGTTGTCATCATTACCATTTTGATTTTTGCATAGGTACTTTAGGGTTTCTCTTAGGAAATTTGCTTGTTTTCCTTATTGTTTTTGATTTAAAGAAATTCTGCATGTAAAACAACACAAACAGCAGTGCAGGCCCTTTAGAAACTTGGATTCTGGATTCCCGTGAAAGCCAGGCTTAACAGTAATACATGGGGGGCAGCTTTTGCTTCATCTTTTGGCAGAAGAGGAGCTCCAGTTATGTTTTATTCTCTCTACCAATGAATGCAACAAATGCCTTTAAAAACAAAACCAAACCCAGGTTCGCAGTCTGTTCTGCCTCCGTAACCAGGTCCTTGATAACAGTTTGGTCCCAGGCCACTTGATCCGACTGGCACCTACTCAAATTCACACACAGAATTGCTTGGTTGGAAAAGACCTCTGAGATCATCATGTCCAACCGTTCCTGTCTACCCACTAAACCATATCCTTAAGTACCTCATCTACCCGCTCTTTAAATACATCCAGGCATGGTGACTCCACCACCTCCCTGGGCAGCCTGTTCCAGCTTCTGACGACCCTCTCAGTAAAGAACTTCCTCCTTATCTCTAACCTGAACCTCCCTTGGCACAGCTTGGTGCCATTTCCCCTTGTTCTATCCCCCATCACCTGGGAGAAGAGACCAGCACCCACCTCTCTACAACCTGCCTTTCTCAAACAGCCCCTGAACCTCACGTGATGTCCACCAACAGGACATTAACGTGCTGAGTTAAAGGGGTTTTTTTTCTTGAGGAAAACGTGGATTCTCACCAGTTTTTGTGTGTTGTTTTATTTTTATAGCAATCGGTTACGTTTTACTAAAGCAGACTTCTTGGTAGTTCATGGTAGTTGCTGCTTCATCAGCTTCTCTGGATTTTGGTTGAACTTCAGTAATAAACTTCTGCTGTTGTAGCAATAAAGAAGAGGACTGAAAATAATATCAAATGACTTTTGTTTGTCAGTGATGTGTCAACACTGTTAGACTCCAAAACAAGTGAGCACAAGACTTTTTTCAGCTGGAAGATGGTGTTCTGATGTTGAAAACAGCTCTGTCAATAGAGAGTAAATCTGCTTGTCCAAGTAATTAAGGAATAAAATCATCAACGTAAGCAACATCTGTACTGGAAGGATCAGCTTCCTTTTTTATGTGCTGTGCTCACCAGAAGACAAATACTTGTTTTGGATAGGTTAGAAAATCCAGTTCCTACTTCCCAAAATCTCTGATGTTATTTGGGTTGGTGACCCTGAGACCAACCTTGAAGGTGTCTCTGTGTGGCAGGGTCTCGAATGAGAAGAAAATTCAATTTGTCCAAGACCACATTAACGTCTCCCAAGCACAGCACAAAAATGAGACCATGAGAAGAGCACTGATGCTGTTGCCCCTTTCTGGGTGAGAAAAGTGAGATTCCTTGGGTTGGTTTATGATCATTGTGTGATTCTTGGACATTGTGGTGTTGTCTGAGTGAAAATGGTGTCTTTTCTGAGGAGCTGTCTCAGGTGATGTTAACTCCTCGTGCCGAGGTCTGGCTGAGCCTCCTGTTGCTGCAGTGAACACAGACAAATGTACCCGTTACTGTGCCCATTAAAGCTAAAAAATAACAGTAAATACAGGTACTTCCTTATTGTCATCTCTTATTAATCATAGCATGGGTTTTACCAGTCCAGTCTCCTAAAAACCATAAATGCCAATGTACTAACAGATCATTTCAGCGACTAAAATGCAGGATCCTGTTTTTATTATTATTTTTTTTTACCCTGGTTTCTTGAATACTTTGAACTTTTGGTTTACAATGTTTTGAGTGCTACATTTACTGCTTCAGACCTTTGTTCTTACCCTTTAAAAGCCATTACCCTTACAGTGATTTTTTTTCTTTTTCCCCAGGGTGACCAGATGCAGGTCATGCCTATACCAAGTGTATGTATTTTTATCCCTTTTTCTTTTAATAATTTTCATAACTTTTGCTTTGATTCAACTTATGTTGCAGTCTAACAGGTCTGGTTTGTGTTGCATGTTAACGAAAGGATTTTATGTTCTGTCTGCAATGTTGTGTGCTCAGATTGATCGAACTGCACGTGTCGTACAGGGACTGAAAGAAGAGTTTGGGTTTTATGTGGTTTTCATCTCGCATCTCGGTTCAATTCATCTCTGGATTTTGACCGTTTTAGAAAATGCGTGAAGTGGTCAGAAAGTTGAAGTTACTTATTCAAATAGAGACAGAAGTGACCCATCATCACTATGAGACACAGTTACAAACCCTTTTCCCCTCATTTTTCCACAAGAAGAGTTAGAAACTGCATCATTTGTTTGAAAAAAGCCACTTTAGGGTAAAGAAAGAGTACCCTGACCCCAGCTGCGTTACTGCACTCATTTGAGATGGTGCTCTCAGTGTCTGCTGCTGGTTTCTGGGCCTTAATATCTCTGCTTATCTTCCCTGGATTAAACTTGGAGCGCCGTTTGGTATCTGAAATATTTTTCAAAACTAAATAATAAGAAGGGAAAAAAAAAAAGACTCTTGAAATTAAAAGCTTCAGTTTGATTGGGTTTCACCTTTTTTGGTCAAAAAGCTGCTGGTTTTTACTGGATTTTTATGTGGATGAAGGCTTACGCTTTTTAAAGCTGGAAATAACTTTTTTGGAGCTCCTTTGCTGTTTATAATTCTTTGTTATGATAAAGTTTTCCAGGAGTTAGCAGTGCTGGTGTGTGGAGTTACTGACGCAGCCCTCTTTCTGGGGATATTTGGTAGCCTCTAAACATAGGAATATTCCCCAAGACACCAGTTTTTCCCTCTTT